ATGAGAAATTAATCCTTTCATCAAAGAAAGCTCTTCCTGAGTTTTATAGAAATAATTAGATATGTGGGTTATCAGGCTATTACATGAAGTAGAATACAGCAAAACAATTGTAATTACTAGAAATCTGAATGTGTCAGACCTCTAGAAGATCAGAGGGTTGGAAGAAGATGCCCCATGAGCAAGTTACTCAGTTGTATTTCCCTGTGACTTTCTGAATCAGTTGATACTGTTTGGTTGAACATCTTTGCATTAAATCACCTGCTGTGGCAGTTCCCATGTCTGTCTCATTCCTGCATTGTGTGTGTTTAATATAAACCTTCTCAGTTTTTTGCTAAACTAATGTATAGTTCTGTATGACCTTTATGAAGTAGACTGAAGTGTTTTTGCTTGCTGGATTCAGTCAAACCTAAGTAAGGTTTTTAGAACTCTATGTAAGATGACTCATACATAAACTTGTACTGAATGCTTTAAGCTGAAACAGTTCTTTATCTCAGTAAAAATCATGCAGCTTCCACTTAGGCATGGTATTTACATCTCTCTTCTGAAAGTGTTGTTCTTCCACCATCATGCTGCTTGAACATCCTTTCTTCTTTTGCTTGGAGGCGTTGCTTCCTAATACCCTGCTTTGGAAAGTTGATCTTATGTTGGGCTTCCTGAGATGGCTCTTGCTTTTAGCTGTGGTAGAGATTTCAATATAGAAAGTTTGAAAGGGATCTGTATCTAGGGTAGGGTCTGCATCTGGCAGCCAAAACCATTGTGTGGTATGGACGTTGGGAAGGAGAGGGAACAAGAGGTGACCATGGAGGAAGATCTCCTCTCTCACTTGTTACAAAAGCCTTTAACTGTGCTTTTTCTGGGTCTGCTTTAAACTCTTAAAATCTAAACATCACTTTTAAATTCTGGAAATAAAACCTCACATCTGTAGTTCATGAGGAGGAAGGAATTCTCTATCTCTTTTAAGGGTAAAATCAGTATATGTAGACCTCTGCTTTTAAATAGTGTGATTGGCAAGTCCAGTCTGGTTTTGAACTTGTGGTAACCACCAAGTATTTTAAAGTCAGGAGTTTAGGTTTTGTGCTACCTAAAATACCACATTCATAATTATTCATAGGATGCTCATTTCCCTGGGGTGAGAGTCACTTTAAGATGTGCTTCATTGCTTTTAAATGGTTACTACTGTAATTGCGAGTTTTGAGAGAAGTCATCAAAATTGGTGCTTCATAAGAACCATGAAGAAATGGTGGTTCTTGTTTTTCCCTGTAACACTGATTTGTACTCATGAAAGAGTCACATTTAGTCAGAACTGATTAATCTATTGAAGTTAATATTCCCTGGAGGAAAAGCTTTACATTTCACAGTCTGCTTCACAACGTTCTTCAGGCACTTGAATAATTTCAGTCTGTTTGTAGAATACAGCAGGGTTTCTGGGTTGCCCAAACTATTAATTACTGTTGTAACCTTTTATTAACCCCGTTGCTTCATTGTTTCCTATGTTTGCTGAAAACAACAAAAAAGCTTAATTTAATATATTTTGATACTGGAAGCTTGCTGCTGAAACCAACACCCAAAAGAAGTATTGTTACTTTGACCTTTTGAAATTGGCACTCATTGGTGCAGTATTAGATCATATGTCCTTGTCTTCATTAAAAATCATTAAAATGAACAGGAGTTTCAGTAATGTTTATTGATAAACCCTATACTGTTGGATGATGGAATCATAGAAGACTTGAGGATGGAAGTTACTTCTAGATTTCATTCTGGTCAAAAGCAGGTCCAATTAGATTAGGCCATGCAGGCCATTTAGGCATGCTTAAATTATTAAATTAAAGGTTTTAATTGCAGGATATATGACTGACATATCTAAACAAAATGTAAAAATAAAGAATAACTAAATGTGGCTTATAATTTCCTAAAATAAGTTTAAGGTCTGGTAGTTGTTTGACTGTTGTCATTGAAGCAATAATTATGTCCTTCCTTCTATTTCTTTGTTCCAAGTTTGAACACTGTTACAGCAGAGTTTGTATGTGGATAGCATTGAGACATACCTGAGATTCTTGGCTTTGGGGGAAAAAAAAAGATAAGCCCCCTATAGTTTTCCACTTAAGGTGAGGTTCACTCTTCAGTGATAGCATGAAAGCAGGTAAAGCACCCATTGAAGCTGTGGTACCCAGTATCCAGCAGTGACACTCATGGATATATAGTGTGAGAACAGCCTAAGCATGGAGTGCGCCTTCCTTGGTACCACTCTCAGCAACAGTTTATTGGGAATTGAAAATTTTTCTGAGCTAAACATGGTGTCTTTATATTTTAATAACCCATGAATAGATTACTGCAGCCATTATTAAAATTGTTGCAAGGGTAATACATCTTTTAAATTACTGTTTGTTAGACATGCAGTCTGGTTTTGTTCATGATCAATTGATCCCTGTTTGAAAAGACAATAGAATTTCGTATCTTTGAATGTTTGCTTAACCATAGAGACCGGATCCTCTCTGACAGAGGGGAAGAACAGCCTGGAACAGATCTTGCATTAATCACTTTTTTTTTTTTTTTTTTTATAGTCACAACCTTCGTCCTATGAAATTCTAAAGCAGATGGTTGTTCCTTTTTCTTATTTTCTTGTCAGGGTCGACTTACAGATGTCTTGTCAGAACATGGATATTTAATATTTATGCAGTATCTACATGTGCACTGCTACCATTTGCCATCTACATAATTTTAGTCTTCCATCTTGCTTAAACAGTGCTCAGACTCTTTATTTTTCACTGTGGATAATAGAGGTCTTTCCATCAAAAAAGTACATAATGCTGCTGCTGTTTTTCTTACTGTTGTGCCCCTTAAATGTCATGAAGTTTACAAAACCGGGGATGTGAACAAGTGAGTAACTCAGTTTAAAAAAAATAGCTTGGAGTCTCTTTTGTGTTTAACCCCTTCCAGCAGGCTTAGGAGAAGTTTGAGCTGATTTAGTTCTCTGAGACATGAGTTTTGACAGATAAAGTGTGGAAATGTCACTGTGCTATGTTTCTTCATAGTTGAGTGAAGAGAATTCTGTTGCACCAGCATATCATTATTAGTGTTGGTCCTGTCATACAATAACCCCCCTGTATTTGCTCTCCAAATCCTACAGATACAAAATAAATAATATTTTTGCCTTTCAACCAACTTTACCTGTTGATTGACAGGAATGAAATGTGCGTTGCTGATGGTTTTGAGAAGGGTCGTGGAGGGGTGGGGAGCAGGCAAGCCAATCCAGAAAAATCCCAACAAGACAAAACCTCCCACTTTTTCCTGGAGGTTTATTAGATGAACATGATTAAGAGCTATGTATAACTGCAAAAACCACAGTGATGATAAACGAGATGAGTTGTTATAAAGAAACCACTGATTATTGCCAGGCACGGTGGATAAACTGATTTAAAAACAGATCTGGTAGGAAGCTTTGTTTTCACTGTAATTTGATGCAGCCTCATGGGTAGCTGCTGTAGCCTACAGATACCTGTGACCTTGTTTCTTGACTGCTTTTTTTTTTTTTTTTGCTATTATTTATGCAATATTTGTCTCTAAATACATGATAAATCTAATTGCAATATCATAGTTACTTAGCTGAGTTCAGCAGTAATACTTTTTGACTGTAAGCTATTAATGGAAATGGTAAGAATTAAACTTTGTATATTCAGAGAGAAAGAAAGCATAGCATCTAAATACTGATTTTGTTTATTTTTGTGTTTATTAAGCTCTTAGGCTGCACTTTTTAATGTCAGTTTGGAAAAATGATGTTGATAGATGATGAGTGTCCACAGTTCAGCTGTTTAGTTATCTTTGTCCTCCTGGAGTCCCAGTTCTATGAGCTTCTAAATGTCAGTGTTAGCCTTTTCATCAGGGACCAGACACTTGTTCACCAGGTGCACTGGCCAACAGGTCTGGTGTATCTCACATAGGAGAATAGGTATTAGTGATATTAGAAGTTATGATAGTAGAACTGCATGAATTGCTGGTGGTACAGCAGAAAATGGGGATTAGTGGGATACTACAAACTCTCGTTAATCTCACTGCTAAACCTCACAAACATGTAGCTGTGAACACATTTTGAGCTTGCAATGAGAGTATGTTGTGGCTATTAAAAAAAATAATGCATTTTAATATGAGAGAGAATTCATTAGGATATTTTTATAGTTAGTCCCTCTGTAATTTAAAATAAGACCAAATGTGAGTGCAGCTTGCAAGGTTTGTACATAAACACCTCTGAGTAATATTTTGCTCATTTCTGATGATCTGGACAGCATGGAGTGATATTTAACTGCATAAACCTTACTTAAAAAGGCTTCCTTTTTTACCTGAAGATTGTTTGAATTTTGGAGGTAGTAATTTCTATGATTCCCTAGCATGTGAGGACTCTTAAGAGGCTTTATGGTATTTGTGTGTCTGAGCTAGGAGCAGGTTTTCTGGGAGGCGTCGTTGCGATGGAGACGTGCGCTGGTGAGTTGCCATTTGTGCTGACTTCAGCACTTTGTGAACACATCAGGCTTGCAATATGCTGTGTATGTGCAGCCGTGCAGGTTTCTAGGTTTGGGCAGGCCTGTTACTTCTGGGAAACATGAGATTTTCTGTGTACGTGCTGTCTGGCTGCCTTAATCTATGCACAGTTAGTTCAGCGTATCTGAAAGCAATATGGCCACTGTGTGTATGGACCAAGTATACAAAGTGCTAGATTTACTGAGCATGGACCATGTAGTGTATTCCCATGCATTCCACCTGGAAAATCCATCTCACACAGGTAGGAGTCTGAGTTTCAGTTCATGTTCATTTTCACTTAGATATGGTGTTTATTTTAAGCAAGTTCTTTAATGTCAGTGTCATTTACCAAGAATGTATTAATCAAATGGAGAACATTTTATGACATCTTAAAACAAGTTAATAACTATTTTAAACATGCAGGGGTTACTCTGGTTTATTTTTTGCTGGTCTGTATGCCTGACTCAAAATCTATTTTCTCTTTTCAGGCAGCTATAAATGGTGTAATACCACAAGAAAATGGCATTCTACACAGGTAAGCACAGAAAACTGGAGTGGTACACACAGAGAATGATGCTGTATGATAGTTACATTTTTGTTTCTGAATCCTAAGATGTAATTCTCCTATTAAAGGAATTTCTGGAGTTAGAATGTAAATTCCTGGCAAAGGTGGCTTAATATTCAGTTTTTCCCATGCTGATGGAGAACTAGCTCAGACACCTATCTCAATTATGTGTTTTTAATTTTGAATTAATTAGTTGTCGGGTCATTCTATGCAGAGTTGTCTCTTTATTAAGTGTGGATTTTGGTATGCTTTCTCGAAAGTCAGGGCTTGGTGGGGTTTTTTTTTTTGGTTTTTTTTTTTTTTTTTTTTCCCTGCAAAGATAAAAAAATTGCAAGGTCAAAGATGTTCCTGGCCAAATATTATCTTTTTCCTTATGCAATTTTAACGGTATGTATATTCCTTGCTCCTTTGTCCCCTGCCAAAAATGTTCCTATTTGTGTGTGTATATCTATATTATCTATAGATATGTTTTTTTTTTTTTTGTTTTTTTTTTCCCTGCAAAGATAAAAAAATTGCAAGGTCAAAGATGTTCCTGGCCAAATATTATCTTTTTCCTTATGCAATTTTAACGGTATGTATATTCCTTGCTCCTTTGTCCCCTGCCAAAAATGTTCCTATTTGTGTGTGTATATCTATATTATCTATAGATATGTAAAAAATAGATTTTTTTTTTTCAGCTTTGTATTGAATTTTGGCTTGCATACTGATGCCTGGATATCTTGAAGTCACTGAAGGATGAGCTTCTACATCCTGATGAGGCAATTGGAAAACAGCTGAATAGGAATTGAGCTACTTGAGACAGCAAAATAGTGTTTAAGTGTGCCATTTAAAAAAGTTGATTTTAATGATGAAAAAAGGTATATAATGTAGGTGAAGTGGTGTTTTGGCATCTCTTTGAATACTTACTGAAGGTATTAAGAGTCAGTTTTTGATTCAGGATAAAACCTTATTTGCTCAGTGAAGTTACTAGATGTTAATTTACAGACTGGAGATCAAGTCTCAGTTGTGTTGAGCACACTTTCTACCTCTGTTAATAAGTCCTGACCTCAAAGCATTTATATTCAAAATACCTGAATGTTAGGAACCATTTGTTCAGGGAAGAAGATGGGGAGTGGTTGTGCCTGACTTTGAAAACAAGCTGATCCAGTGTCTGCTTACAGCATTCTCCAGCACTGGTTTATTCATTTTTAGCAATGATTAGACAGTCAAATTTGTCCCAAAATTTTTTTCTTTTTTTTTTCCTTCCAATGGAAGGTGTTTAAAAGGAGACTCGGAAGACTTGGAAGTCTAGTTTCCAGTGGTTTTCACATGAGGGTCACTTTACTGAGGTGAAGCTTTTTATGTTACATTAGAGGTTGCCAGGCAGATATGTAGGATGTCTTCTGTGGTGGAATCACATGGAATTAATACAAATGGACTTGAAGTTTCAAGTTAATTTTTTGAAGGGGAAAAAATGAGGTTTGTTTTATAATTCAGTTGTGTTGTTTAAAAAAAAAAAAATCCAGTTCTGAGAATCAGAATTAATTGTTCCTTAGGTTTTTTTAACAAAATGGTTATAGTAGCTAATTCATAGCTGGATATCAGGCTTAAGACAGTAAGGTATCACTTGGTGTTTATACTTTTTTAAAGACAGAAAATAAGACTGTTTCCTGTACTCTTTAGACCTCTGAAGTGGGTCTTTGACCTTTGAGCATAGGTCTTTCAGTGTGGATCTTTGTAGCTGGGTACCCATCCTTCTGAGCCTGCTGATGTGAGAAGTGAAGGAGCCTCTTGTTTTACAAGCATAGCACATTTTTCTTTTTCAAATGTGGAAGGCACAATGATGGGATTTGCTGCAGCTCTGTGTAACTTTAACACTCCTGTGACATGCATGCCATCCACATTTATGCTTTTTCAAGTTGAAGCCTCCACTAGATGAGAGATTTGACTTGCTATAAGAAGCATTTCCATTGACAGATCTCAAGGTATCTTCAAGAAAGGCAGAATGCATTTTTCAGATAAGTTCTGGTTAAGAATGGTAACGGGACAACTTACATCTCAGTCGTTCCTGAATTCCTCTTTTCTCACCTTTCGTTCTTTCAGTGCTTATATTTTATTAGCTTGCATTCTCCTTCATTATATCCTGTATCTGCCCAGGACAGATGATCTTCCTGATAAGAACATCTACAAGGCAAAGCTCTAGGCTTTCCCTATTAAGTTCCTTTTCTGTCAAATTTAATTTCTTTACATCATTGGTTATTTTTGGCCTGGAGTGGCATTCCTTAAATTTTGTGTTTTATTACCTTTGTTTCTAATCTCAGTTACATGCTTTTTGTGGAGAGGTTCACTGAGGAAGGCTAAAGTGCTTCTGGATAGTGAGGGTTTCCCAGTTTATTCTGATTTGTAGTGCTGTATGTATCCTCAACTCAGGTATGGAGACAACCTCATATGAATGTCCAGGAGGCTTGAAGGATTTTGAACTTAAAGACAGATAAGCTTGAAATCAGCATTGCTTTACTGATGTACTTCTAAGGATTTATTTTATTTTTTTTTTACAATGTATTCCTCATTATCTTAATATATTTACCTTATCTGACTTGTTTTCCACTAATTTGGTATTGGAAAATACCAAAGCATGTGCAGTATTTTATAGCTTTGTTTCTTCTTTCTCTTTCCAAGGGATACTAGCCCAGTGATGTCAAAAACTGCTGTTGGCCATGGTGTCAATTTTTATGTGGTCACAGCACTCCTGGAACTGGAAATGAGGCTGCGTCTCAAGACATATCTGATATTAATTGCATAATGAACTTTAGACTGAAATAATGGCTTAAATGCCTGTTTGTCACCTAAGTTGTTCTCCTGTAGTCACAAAAATGTTAATTTTGCTGATGCAAAAGCCATTTTCTAATGGCTAATAAACCAGTGCTTCCAGCCGTGGCAGTGTGTAGGTTATTCACGGTGTGTGTGCTTCCCATAGTAAGTGTATAATACCGATAATTTTTCTTTGCTAACTTTTACTTCAACACCTCAAGCTGTTCTGTTTAAACCTTCTTCTGTGCATATGTTTCAGTGAGTATGGTGGAGAGACTCTACACGGGCCAGCGTATGGCCCCGCCGCTCATTCGGCAGCAGCTTCTTCCACTCCTTCCTCATCCTCAGCGTTCCGCCACGTAGTGCCATCCAGACAGATAGTGGAAAGGCAGCCTCGAATGCTCGACTTCAGGGTTGAGTACAGAGACAGAAATGTGGATGTAGTACTCGAAGACAGCTCCACAGTTGGTAAGGATTTGTAAAATTGAGATGACAACTTTGGTGGTCAAGCTGTTCAAACAAAAACGATCGAAAAAGACCCAGCCCTGAAAACCCAAAGCCTAAAGAAAAGAAAAAAAAAGGCAAAGCAAAACAAAACCCCTCAAAGAAGAAAAAAATCCCCCAGAAAATGCAGCCTTTGCAGCTACTAACCATTTTCAAATCTCTTTGCAGCTTTAAAAAAGCAAAATTTCACTAATCCATTGTAAAGGTTAGTGGTCTATCAAATACTTATTTTGAAATCTGTTTTTCTTCTCAGCTTGCTTCAGGAACAAAACAGATTACTGATTAAGTTGAGGCATGAAAATGTAATTTGGGGAAGGATTAGTGTAGATGCAATCTACTAATAAGCTGATAATCTTGGCATTTCCTTTTTGAAACTGTATGGCATCTCTTTCTGGGTAGTGACAAGATTTAGAGGAATTCTTTCCAGTGTGAAAAGCATCATTGTATTCTTCTTTTTTCAATTTTTGTTTCACTTGTTTGTGCAAATTAGGATTTCCTTTAAGTTTTACTGTCTTTATACTACAACATGCATTCTGTCACAGTATGTTAGAAATAGGCTATTTGTTAGTATTGCAGATCATGTTACTTTTTACATTCCCCCAAACTGTCAGATAATTTAGTTTTGCTAAGGACAAAGAGCTTTGTGGTGGATGTGGGGTTTTTTTTAGTGAAAACTTTGTACAGATCAAAACAAGGAACTAAATGAAGAAACAGTTGTTGAAACAATTTTTAGTGCTGCAGCCTAATGTCTGGTGCAATTTTGAAACTTTTGATCCTTGTCTTGTTAGCCTTCGATTTGGTATTGGCTGGTGCCACCTCGTGGTGATCTGTTTGAATTCCTAATTGGTGTTGCATGTTTATCACTGTACTGAGTTGCATCCATGCAAAGCAGATAGAAAGGTCTGATCAAATCAGAATTTTGCAGCTGTACTATTTTATTTTTTTCTTATTAACTCTTTTCAGGTATAAATTGTGAAGTTGTAGGGTAGAAGCAGTCAGTATAGAACTTTTGCTTGTAACTTGGCATATGAATATTGAGGGCAGCCTTGCCTTTGAAGTCCTGACAGAAGTGAGCAAGGCAAATAGTAGGATTTCAACTGTGGACTTCAGGAAAGAAGAGGTTTGGCTTTTTCAGGAATCTGCTTGGTAGGATCCCATGAGAGACTCCCTTGAGGACAAAGGGACCCAAGGGACCTGGTTGATCTACAAGACTAACCTCTTCAAAGCACCAGAACAGTCCCTTCCAACATGCAGAAAGAGGAGCAAGCATGGCAGAAGGCAGCATAGAAGAACAAAGAATTTATGACTAAGCTAAATGCAAAAAGAGTACACAGAGGGTGGAGGGTAGTGATCGGGGCTACCCAGAAGAGAGATGTTGCCAGAGTGTGCAAGTTTGGAGTTAGACCAGAGCTCAGGTGGAGCTGAAACCACTAAGGGATTAGAAGGGCTTTTGGAAGTACATCAACATGAAAATAAAAGCTGAATAAAAGTGTGCCTGCTGTTCAGTGGTGATTGCTGAACTTGATCTGTGGGAAGATTATGGAGAAAATCTTTCTGGACCCCCTTTCTGAGCACAGAAAAGGAGGTGATTTGAAACAGCCAGCATGGGTTTGCTAAAGGCAAATTGTGCCTAATCAGCATTATCTGCCTTTTATGATTGGATGACTGGCTCTGTGGACAAGGAGAGACCCGTGGATGTCATCTTGACTTAAGTAAGGCCTTTGACACACTCTTTTCTAGTATTCTTATAGTCATGTTTTTTAGGACAATTGGAGAAGTGGGCTGATAAGGTAGGTGGGTTGTTGCCTGGGCTGCTGGGCTCAGTGTCTGACTGGTGGACAGTTACTAATTTAGGGATATCCCTCAGCAATTTATCCTGGGGCCAGTGTTACTAAATGTCTTTATTAAAAACATGGTTGTTAAGGTGAGTGCTCACGTCATGCTGACAAAGAATACCAGATCAGAGAAAGTGGCTGATATTCTGGATGGCCAAGCTGCTATTTAGAGGGCCCTGGGCAACCTGGATAAACGGACAGACAGGAGCCTCATGAAGTTGAAAGAAAGCAAAGCTGAAATCCTGCATCTGGGGTAGGATAATTCCATGTTATCCCATCTGATACCTGGCTGAGAGCTGATAGGCTAGAAAGCAACTTGATTAAAAAAAAAAAAGGGATCTAGGGATGTGTTAGCAGTGCACCCTTGCTGTGAAGAAGGCCAGCTACCTCCTAGGTTGTTAGCAAGAGTGTAGCCAGTGGATCCAGAAGAATAGTTACTCCTCTCTAGTCAGCCGTTGAGGACTGCACCTGAGGCACTGTAGCCAATTTGGAGGTCAACAGTACAAAAAAGATACTGACATTCTGCAGTGAGTCCAGCAGATGCCAGAATAGGTAGTCAGGGGACTGGAGCACGTGGCAACATAGGAGAGAGGCACAGAGAACTGGGTTTGTTCAGCCTGGTGAAGAGAAGCAAGAGGTAGAGACCTTACCTCTGTACAGCTACCTTTTGGGAGGACCCAGAGAAGATGGAGCCAGACACTCTCTTTGGTGGTGCATGAGAATAAGATGAGAGGCAATGGACACAATTTGCAAGATTGAAAATTTCCATTAGATATAAGGATTTTAAAATATTATTTTTTTTTCAGTTGTGGGTGTGGTGAAGTACTAGAACAGGTTGGCTAGAGAAGCTGTCAAACTTTCATCCTTAAAGGTGTTGAAGAGTCAGCCAGGCAAATCCTTGATTAAACTGTTGGGCTGGGCTTGATGACCCCCTGTGGGTACCTTCCAGCCTGCATTATTTTATGATTGTGGCAACTACAGGGAGAGGAGAGCATAGAAATGTGTGAAACACTGAAAAAGCTGTCAGAGCAGTTAAAATGTTACAAAGACTCCAGTTCTTTAGGTCAGGATTATTGATAATAGTATTGGGTATAAAAAGAATACCCTCTATATTGCTGGCAAAGGCCATTGCTCCAGATGGCACACAACTGCAGATGTGTGCTTAGCCTACACAGTGTAGAACTATTCAAATATATGTCCAAATCTTCAGATCCTCATGTGATTCTCCAATCATTCATGCTTTATGTGATTTATTTTTTTTAACCTTAATTTATCCTTTACTGTTTGAAGTGCATGTTACAAGGGTAACTAGATTAAAAACTGGTTTTGTAGTAAATTTTTCCTTGCTCTCATTTTTAACTAGAACTTGGTACTGTTTGAAATAAATCGGTGTGTATATCTTACATATTTTCTTTGTTTTCTCTTTAGGAGATATCAAACATATTCTAGAAAATGAACTTCAGATTCCTGCATCTAAAATGCTGTTAAAGGGGTGGAAGACTGGAGATGTAGATGATAGTGTAAGTTTTCAACTGTGTTTTATTCAGTTAACTGCATTCATTCAGAGTTTCAAACAGCATCTGTGGGTGGGGATTACAAGGCAAGAATTGTGAGTTTGAAACAGTGTTAGATGTATTGGGTGGCATACAAGGAGCTCTTCAACCAAAGCATTGCAAAAAAAATCAGGACAAATCACTTTAGTTGTGTTGGTTTTGTATATAACGTGGCCCACCTACAAAATGTTAACAGTAAGTATAACTCAAAACAACATGTTTGGTATTGTAAATAAGTATAAATAATTAAAATAAATAAAAGAATACATGAAAATTGGTGAATGATTAATATTTATAATTTTTTTTCTCCCCCCAGACTGTTTTAAAAACTCTACACTTGCCAAAAAATAATAGTCTTTATGTTCTAACACCTGACCTGCCTCTTCCTTCTTCAAGTCATTCTGGGTGAGTCTTTTAGCCATGAACTCTGGTTGTTTGATTTGGTTTTGTATGGTTTTTATGAAGCTGCATGTATCTTTGCAGGAATTTGCAATCAGTAAATAAATACAAAGTGTTTCCTCTGCTCTAGCTGGGATAAACAACTGCAGCACCTCACTGTCGAAAGGAAGGTTGCTAAGTTTTTTAACAACCCTGGTGTGGTACATGAACCACTTAGGTACATACAGTATTTTACACCTCCCAGATGCCATGACTTTCACTTAACAAAAATGTAGTCCCTGTGGAAATAAATGGGAGCTGGCCTTTCTGAATTGTGTTGGTTCAGTCAAGGTAAAGGACTATAAATCATTGCCAGCAAATCAGAAATTTCTTTCTGAAGTTTTTGTTACATTATTTTATCCTATCTTCTTGGACTTTCAAAATGTATGTTGATAAGCTGAGTCATTCAATTCCTCTGAGCAGGGTATCTTGTATTAGTGCTTTGAATACTCAAAAAGTTCCCAGTGAGTGTTCTATGTCAGTGGTCATTGCTAAGGTTTGCAAATTAAATGTCACTTTAAGAAACATTACTTCTTTACTTTTAGAAAGTAATTTGCAATTACTTTGATTAGTTTGGCTTGTTTTCTTTCCTGCCTTTCCCTTTCTCAAAGGCAGACCTGGATGAGCTTTTTACCAGGAAAATGTTAATTTTTTTCGGTAGCCACTAGAGGGGGCCCAGGAATTGCGCCTGGAAGGGCCACGCTGTGTCGGACCCGGCCAAATTGAATGGCCATTAGAATCCAGTGCCTTCCAGCTGTCTGAAGAGGGAGTTGTTTTCCTGCTGTTGGAGTTGATAGGAGAGTATTCTACACATGCAGTTGTAGCACTGATGAGGGAAATTCTTTGAAAGCAAAAGAGATAAATAACTGGTTTTCTAATGACTGAAAGGGCTTCTTAAAATACTAAGAGGTACTTGTTCACATAACCGTGTAGTCTGTGGAGGAAATAAAGGTGCTGATGTGAATGATAAAAATAATAATAAAGGAAAGAAGTGTTTAGAGAGGGAATACTGGGACTGAAAGAGAGGGAGCAGCTCTGTGGTGAGCTGTATGTGGACTGTATGTACAAACAGGAGCTGTAGTCATCATGTGTGAGGACAATAAGCCATTATACTTAAGCTGCTGATTGAAGGACAGTGAAAATACTGTGGAAAACCACTGTAGATACTGATTGTTTGCTGGTTGATTGTTTTGTTTTTTTAAAATCGATTTCCAATTTCAAAATTTTCTACCTATGTATCTCTGTATATTGCAGTTTGAATGTTTTCAGTTCTGGAAAGAAAACTGGGGTCTGATGTATGTTGTTTATTGCAACTGCAATAAACTATATCACAACGAACTCTTAAAAAACAGTTCATAGGCTTTTTAGTTGGATGAATAGTTTTAAAAGAGCTTAACTTGCTAGTAAAATCACAGTGATCATTACCTTTACAGTTTATACTTGTTTCATAGGGGAGAATAGTTCTGGGTATTTTTAAGATAAAGTTGGTAGCTTTGAAATAGCAAATGATGATTAATTAGTGACTACTTAAACAAGGATAATTTGAAGGCTAGATCATCTCCCCAAAGTCATAAATTGTAGATGAAAGGAGAGGCTTGCCTCCAATTAAAGCATCAATGCAGATCAAAACACATCTAATTGAAGTAATGTACCAAACCCTGTTACACTGTTTACTGCCTATTGTCAGATCAATTATTATTCAGATTAGTTTGTTACCCACAATTTTTAAAAGCATGATGCTCACATCTATTATTAATGGATGTTAAGGAACTTTGCCTCTTGCTTTGTGAGTTCATCTGTTGTTTTCTTCAAATGCCTTCTATTTTGAACTAGAGATAAATACTCACCATTTGAATGCTTCTAGAAAGTGATACTTGAAAAGTCTTAGGTTTCAGTATGTGGTATTTTATGTACATGCCATTCTTAAAAGGAGCAATCTCATTGCAGCTCTGTAAACTGTAAGCTCTGTCCCAGTTTTTCAGACTAAGGAAGAGTGTTTGAAACATCCTTTCCCAACATACTGGTATGTAGGCGTTGAAGTTTATTGTGACAGACTCAATGGGCTTAACCCAGAAGTGACTTAAAACTACCATCTGAATGTAATGGCAAAGTGATCCTTCAGTTCAAACAAGTAAAAATCTCCTAGGGTATCTTTGTTCCTCAGTGGCATATCTAAACCTTTTATAGGTAATAGTGGCCCAGTGAATTATTACCTCATGCTAGTGAATTGCAGTGTAAAGATTAAATTTAAATGTCAAATACTACCTGTAGGGTTACATGTCCAGCTTCCACAGTTTCAGTTGTCAAAGCCATACTTACCTGTGCATGATACCTAGAACAACAGTGACGTGTTCTGGGAGCTGTGGATGTAATGAAACCTGATTTCTAATGAATTCCTGCCTCATCCCAATGGCTGCAGTAACTCAGTCCTCTTCCTCTGTGCTTCCCATGATCTTTGCCTACCTCTGACACTGCCTCCAGTTCTTCCTGTGCACTTTGTAGCACTGTTGTAATTTTTTCCCCCCCCTGAACAGACAGTCACCTGGCCTCTGTTCTCCAGGTGGTAGCTGAGTAATATTGAAGACCAGGAGACATCACATGCTGTAGGTAGTTCTGTAATCATTGGCTACGTGGTGGCTGGATTGAGTATAAAAATACTATGATTGTACTGCAGCCTTTTACTAAGGTGTGTAGTAGTTTGGGTCCCTTTCCTCTACCCAGTTGTTGATTTACACTCAGTCTTTAAGACCTTTGTAACACTTTGGAACTAGTGAGTATGTTCAAAAGTTACCAGATGGGACAGGTGAATGAGAAAAACATCATCTCCTTTGGAAGGCAGCCTTAAGAGGAAAGGTGCCAGAGAGTGTCCATCATTTAATTGTCCAAGAGGAGGAGTGAACCCTTCCACCAGCTCTGTCAGATTAGATTCTTCACTTCCTCAGAGTGACTTTCCTTCCCTTTGTTGCCTCGGGTGCTTCTTGAAAGTGGGCAATGCCCAGTTCAGGGAGAAGATTTTGGAGAATGCAATAGAGGGGAGCATCAAAACTGTAGGTGTGCAAGTCTGGCCACAGAGCTGGGTCACTCTGATCATCTCTTCTGTCTGTCTTACATGTTCTGGGATTCACTTTTTCTCAGTTTTTATTTCAGTTATCACTTTAATGAGTATAATGTATTTTATGCTTACACTTTTTTGCTAAATAACCAAAAGTCTTAGATACTTGATTATACCTGATGAATCACTGGAAGGTTCAAACCAGCTAAAAGCTATTTGACCAGGTCTATACCTTGACAATTATTATAAAGAATGTATTTTTTGCTAAGCAATTGTAATTTATTTAAAAATTGTAATAGTCTGTGTGGATAGGAATGAAAAGCCCCATCTTTGAAGTAATGGGTTCATATATTGCTGAGTATGTGTCAGATTGCTGAAGCAGACTGGTGGTTGTGGCACGGTGTCTTGTACACTATCAAATGTAGCAGAGTGTTAATTAAGAACGATATAACCCGCAACTACAATTATTAGTATTGTCTGTTTAGCTGGACAGGAGTAGTGTCTTGCTTTAGTTACTTTGAAAGCTTCAATAAGTATGGTAAGATTAATGTTTTATTTCCACATCTGCTCATGAGACAGTTTAAAAAGCCTGAAGTTTAAAATGCAATAGAATGTAAACAAAAGGGCTTTTGCTCATTTACATGTTAGCCAGATTTGCTAACTGATTGCTGTTTGAACCTAATCTACCACCTCCTGCTGCATTAGCTACAACAAACATTACATTTACATACTGATTTCTTATTTTGTTTTAATGTAAATAATCTGTAATTACAGTAAATTTGGACTTCTGTTGACATGAGCTTGTATAAATCTGTAAGTTTAAAATGGAAATGTTAATTACCCTGTGTCATACCTAGTTATATAAAATTCAGAGATTTTAGGGGGAATCTCTGTGTGAGAAAGATACTGGCTAATGGGAAATACTGAATGTATTTCATAAAGAAGTACACAGCTGAAATGAAAAGGAGCACTTGCTGGTGATTTTGGTTTCAAAGCTTAAAATATTACTGAAGTTTCAAAGAAAAATGCTATTAAAACCCCAAGTGTTACATCAGAAATAAAACATTAAGGCAGTAACTTAACAATAGATAAAGCCAATCTATTTTTTATAGTAATTGTTACAGAAAAAAACAAAAGCAGTAAAACTGAAGCTAAACATATGATAAATATCAATACTAATGCTATCTTGCTTCAGCATTGTGTAGACCGATTGAACAGTTGCTGTCCCCTAAGATCAGCATTATTTGCAGTTACACATTTTTACTAAGTATTGTTTCTATAATAAATTTATTAAACTTCTAATTTATAATTAGTTCTGTATTGAAATTTGAGTGGAGTAGCTAGTGAATAAATTCTTGCAAGACTCTTCATCAAGTTTTGATATAGTGAGTTTAGTGAAAAAATTTTTTTCCAACTTCCATTGCTTGAAATTTAAGTAACAAAGAGGAGCATTTTTGTTTGCATGTTGTAGTTTCAACCCCGTCTGAATCCTTGTGCATCACTGAGGTTTCTGTGTGTTGGGATAATGCCAATATCCAATTTTGTATAGGCAATCCATGTGAAATCCTAAACTGGTCCAAGCCTCTCTTGCTTGAACTGTTCAAAGCCATGAATGTGCTCAGGTCTGTTTTCTTTTGTCTGTTCTTGGACTTCTCTGGGTGTGGGCAAGTTTCTCTAATGGAAGATCAGTGCCCAAAAATACCCTCAAGTTCCCTGGCCTTCTGTGCTGAATAGTGTAATTCAGCTGAGGAAAACAAAGTGTAATGGCAGCACATAAGCTATCAGCAAATGCTTTTGCAACTAGGGTTTGCAGTAGGGGGGAAATATTGCTGATAAGAGTGGCCTACTTTTAATCCTATGTCTAGGATTTGATTTTTCTTTTCCCACTAATTAGTTCTCAGAGTAATTAAATTCTGTTAGCACTGATGTGGGACAAAAAAAAAAAAGAAAGAAAATCTGTCTTGACTTTAATGGGACCTGGGTTTTGGCCCTGATTTTATTTTGTTTTCCTTCTTTTAATGCAGATGTTTCATTTGGAGGACTGTAGGCAACTGGTAACAGTTGCAGAAAAATGAAACTGTTACAAACACTGAAGTAAAAATTTTAGAAAAGTGTATTGTGTTCAAAGTCAGTCTTCTAAATGCAGTTATGTGCACCTAAAAATAAATAAAAATCAGCTTACTGTCAGTGAGGAGTCTCCTTTACATAAACTTATTTCGTACATTTGTTCATAGCCTTAATGGCTGAAAATACAATTTTAGGGAAAGGCGTGTTTTGGAAGCAAGTAATTTGGGGTAATCTATGTTGCTAGAAGAGATGAGTGTGGGAGGGAAGTGACGTTGCTGGTTGTCCAGCCACATGTTCAAATGTTCACTGTCCTGCAGAGGAGAGCTGGGACACGCAGGGAGTCATTGGCACAGGTTGCCCATCAGATGTGCCATCAATTCTTCTTCCCACTGAGTTTATAAAGTATATGGTCCAGGTCTTATGGCTGTCAGACCATATGAGATTTTGATACAGGAGCTCAAAGGTTTGGGTCAGTAGACCATGGTATTTCTATGTAAGCAGAAGTAATGTTCCTCAGTTTACTATTTTTCTGAAGAAAAGGTGAATAATTAACCATACACTTTAATTGCAAACACTTTCAAAAACAATTTTAAAATCAACTTTTAGTTGTTTTTTTGTGGTGTTTTTTTTTTTTTCCACCCTGTTTAGTTTTCAGCCTCTTTGACTGTATTTGGCTATGAATATGGACTGAGAATTTACTTGTTAAGAGCATTCAGCTCGAGTTGTTCAGAATGCCAAAAGGTAGAGGTGTCAAAATTGTTAGTTACTTAAAAAACGGAGGCTTTATGTTTTAAGACACTTCATTTAAAATAACTGTGTTCAAAGAGTTATTTTTTCTTTTCTAAATACTCTCTCCTGTCACATTCAGATGAAATAGAGAAGTGGAAAACCTTTCCCAGGGACAGATACTTTTTATTAGAATACTGTATTTTGGATTGTACTGAAGTATCTTGCATACTTTGAGAGACTGAGGGTTTGATCAAACTAGGCTGTTTCATTCTATGTTTACATCAATTAGAGAATGAAAATGAGAGTCGAGCCTTATGTGATTCTGTATGGAATCCAGAGCCATTCACATATGCTGTCATACATGCTTTTGGAGTAACAAAATATATCATTCACCTCTAGTATTTGCTGAAAACAAATAAAAACTCAATCTGAAAAAGTTCCATAGGACATTTTAGTTATGGCGGTGCTGAACTTACTGTTAGCAATCCAAGTAGAGTTATCTTTGAAAACAGGTATACTCTCCAGGACTCTTCTCCCCCCCTTTTAAAGGACTGCTTAGTATTTTAAGATTTTTAAATGCTTTTTCTTACAAGATTTTGTGATAAATGCAGCTAGGTTCACGTTCAGCATAGATGGCTTCAGTTACATTCGCAGTGTCTCTCATGCACTTGATCATACCTAACATTGACAATGAGTTAAATTTATCTTTCATGTTACAAAGCCATAGAAGATGAGAAGTAGCACCTCATGATTTTGTTTTGTAGTATGTGATTATTGTGTTTAAGATGTCACAGAATCCAAATTAAGTTGCTGCTGAAGATATTTTTGTAAGGTAATTTTTCTTGAGATGTTAAAGCAAACTTTGCATCTCTTGCTAAAGCATCCAGTGAGTTTTGCATGGGTTCCTTAGCACCTGAGCAGCAAAACTGCAGCTCAGTAATTCCAACAGAAGGTAAAACTAACAATTCAAGACTCAAATAATCTAGCAGCCTTTGTCTTCTTGTATCTTAAGATACAACTGTGCTCATCTGTCTACAGAATGTGTCCTTTGTTGTTAAGCAGAATGGCATGTTGAAGTGTCATGGAGCAGTGAAGATGTGAAGGAAAAAAAACCAACTTACTGTCATTCTTTTAAGAGTATGTGATTAAAAAAAAATGGAATAAGCCAAATTTAATTCCATATGCTGTTGAGCAAGTCAAGTCTGTGTAAATACTGTTTAGAAATCCAAGCTATGTTACAATGTTGCTGCAGTTTTGTAGCCCCTGCAAGATTGTACACAGCTGTAATTGAAGTGTGCAACACAAGTCCTGCTTTCTATCTTGAAAAGTAGATAGCTGCATCATTTTGCACCTAATTAAGCAAACAGGGTGCTGTTTTAACATCCAGATGTTTTGTTACCAGGAAAATAAAGCAAGTTTGTGGCAAGATTAACATATAGTTGACCTGTTTGATCTGTATTTCAAGATTATTTTTTCAAATTTCTATGATTAAAGATGTTTTAATGTACATTTAAAACAATTTGAGCAGAACTAACTTTCCTAAATGCTCAGTACCCACATGAGAAATTTTGCTGTGGTTAGTTTTCCAGTTCTAATTAGCTGGGTTTATGTGCTTTGAATGAAGCTGAGCGGAAGAATTTCCATTTGGTTTATGCATCAGGTAACCCTAGAGAAGTGAGAGCATGCTTTGCCTTGTTCTACTTACCATCAGTTTTTAATGTGCATTGTAGCTTGATATTTTGTCTGGTCATCAATATGCTTACAAGCCTGGTATTAATGGTATTGTGAGTGCTAAATATACCCGATGTTTGTGAAGATAATGTGACTCTCTCCATTTTGAGAATACTTAACATTAGAAGAGCTTTAAAGGCTGCAGTCACCTTATTAAGGAAGGAGTTCAGGAATGGCCTTTGGTCATTCTCAGCATGCTTCCTTGCATTTAAGAGTGAAAAGAGAGATGATAATGTTGTGCCTGGACTTGTCCATGTAGAGTTTAGGGTACCCTGGGGTTTTTGCATCTAACTGTAAAACAAGCTATAACATGCTTATCCCTGATTTTCTTGTTTTTCTTTCAACCATTTCAGGGCCCTGCAGGAGTCATTAAATCAAAACTTCATGCTGATTGTCACCCATCGAGAAGTCCAGCGGGAGTACAACCTCAACTTCTCAGGAAGCAGTACCATTCAGGAGGTGAGTGCTGTTTCACAGCTGAAGAATAAATGTAGCTCATTATAGCTAATGCCAAGCTCTGTTAGCGAGGGTTTACACGGTCCTGATGGATATTCCTTTATTTTATTAGTCTTTTTTTGAATTCATCAACTGGGTCACCAAGATTGCTGTAATTTGATTAAAAAAATCGGCCAAAAAAGGTTTTCTATTAAATTATACAGAAAAAATGTTTCATTTTTGCCATGTAGTAGCAAAACATACGAGCAGTGTTTGTTGAGTAACTCTAAATTGGTGATGAAAAGCAGTTACTCAAATTACAATTAATCTTTAAGCCATTTGAAGCTCCCTGTCTTCCCTTCTTTCAACCAGCTCCATCCCCATTTTGTGGGCACCTCTGCCATTCCTGATTGCTATTGCAGTGTTGTGGTGGTTACTGGCTTGGTAGCCAAATGGTTTTGTGTATAATGGACAGCACTGGTGTTCTGTGGAATGGCCAGCAAGGGGTGATATTGTAGAGAACTTTGTCAGAATTCAGTCCTATAGGAACAAATATCTAGTATGACTCCACATTCTCTGAATTGAGAGCACACAATTCTTGGATGTTTTTAAAACTCCTTTCTAAAGCCAAAGGTTGTTGTTTAGTGCTCCCTGGTATGTCTATTATCCAATGTTTTGGATGTTATTTCCAGTAACTTCTGGAAACATGACAAACAATCTGGAAATGTGAGTCTTCAGAATTCACATGACAAAATATTAAGGTTAAATGTTTGCTTTTCAAATTAAATGTACGTTTGCTATAGATCTGACACCTCTCTGTCTTTTAGGGTTGAACAGATTTTACTGAAGTTTTTTGTGTCACGTACTGACGTGCAGAATGATCTTAAGTTCCATAATATTAGCTATAGGAGCAATATTTCATACAATGAGAAACGAGCATTAACTGCTTTCAGTGTGAATCCTATTATTCTTAAGGTCTAAATCCTGATTTTTCCCCTCTGTGATAGCCTGTTTTCTGCTTTACCTTTTAAAATCTATTATAGTAAGTTCTTGAGTTTTGTGGGTTTTTTTAACAAATGTATTTAAATCAGCTTGTTTCTTGAGGGGACCCTTCACAATTAAAAAGAATTTTAATATTTATAGAAATGAGTTATCAGAATATTTGTTTTTAATTAAAAAATGTCAAGATTCTAAAAGAAAACATAGATACAAATTGTTTCTTTTTTATCTATGCTGTTTCAATTACTACATTGTTGATGGGTCTCATCTGGCTTAAAGGAAGCAGAATCTGTGACAGTGCATGGGAATCAAGGCTGCTGTTACATGCACTGAAGTTTTCTTGTTAGTTGGTAATGTCAGGTTACAGGCAACATGTTAAGATAAAAAGTCAGTGTAATTAAAAAATAAATTATTTTCCCTGTTAAAGAACCAAAAAAAAACCAAACACCAAACCCCTACCCCTCATAACCAGCAGGAGCATCAAAGCTTTCTTTGCCTTTCTGTCTGGTATGTAAGTATGACATCCAATTGAGTGTATAAAATCAGGAAGACCATTTCAGAGGCTAAAACAAAAAGAGAACCCCTGCCCTTCTCGTGCAGCTGATGCTGAACAGGTGAATATGCCTGACTGTGCAAAGTCTCATGAAAATCACTGGGGATTTGGGTGAGGGAAAAGGGTCGACGAACATTTGTCTAATTATAGAAAACAGGCACTGTTTTGTATGTTAACTCCCTAATGGCTTTTTAATTTATTTTTTTTCTTTTAACATAGAGTGAGCATTGTAACAACTGATTGAATCTAGTTGGTTTGTGCAATTTGGAGGCATTAATGCCTTTCTTTCTCTTTTCTCCCCTGTCTGTCTCCTCTCCAGGGACTCTCAGATATTTTTTTCCTTCACTTTCTTGTTCACGCTTTAAGCAAATTAATAGTTTACTTTCCTTCTGGTATATTTTTGTAGTCGGGGAAAAGCTGCCTGTTGCAGTTGCTAACCACAAGAGGGCAGGAAGGACTATTCAATTATTACCTAAAAATGCTGTTCAGTGTTTTCAAATTAGCTTCTGGTATATTAACAAAAAGGAGTATAATGGCCAAGTTATTGTTTGATTTACGGATAATTGGCATATTGCGGGGAGGAGACTTAATTTCACCCTTTTAAATTAAACAGGGAGATTTAAAAAGACATAAAATATTCATTAATGTTCAGTGATTATAAAGCAGTGGCATATATTTATTCTACCTTTATTACTGTTTCGATGGGAAAATACTGCAAATATTTCAGAAATCGACTTGGCGATACTGACAAGTTGAAATGTTTAAGCAGTGTTAATGCAATCCACTCACACCTTCTATCCTATGCAGAAAGATTCAAAATGACTACATCAATTATTAAAAGAAAGATTTAAAATTCTAGAAATGTTCTCCTGCTTGCCACACTTGGGTGCAACTGTCTATCCAGGGCTAGTTGTTTAGTTTGGTGTTATTATTAGTACTGCGGATTTAAGGAATAGATATTTTTTTCCAAGTGTCTCAAAAACCCCACAAAACACCACAGCAAAACCCCAACCCTACCATCCTTTCAAAACTGTCAGGAATATTTTGCAGTGGATAAAATGCAAAAATCCAGTGAGCTCTCAGCTCTGCTTTTCTAAACTATATTGCTTCAGTTCTCTGTATCTTTTTTTTTTTACTGCTTAGAATTAATGTTGAATAGTAAAAATATTTGGATGAATTGTTATTTCAAAGAAATTGTGGAATTTAATGGGCAAACAACTTGACAGAGCCTGAAGCACAGTGCTTGTGTCTCCTTCCACAATTGCTTGCAAATTAATTCAATAGGTGGTGCTTGAAAATGCTGCTTTTTAAAGAAAAATGCTTTGTCTACATCTTCAACTACTTACGTATTAAAATTTAATATGCAGATTTAAAAATACATTATATATACAATAAGGTACATTCACTTATATTGATGTGGGGTTATGAGCTTATAGGGATTCTTCAGAAATTAAATAAAAAAATAAACCAAACTTGTCCAAAATCCTGGCTTTTGGATTTTGGTGGTGTTTTTTTTTTTTTTTGTGAGTCGGACAGGGAACTTGTTAACTTGGAAAGTTAATTATAATGTGTGGTCTAAATTGCAAATTAATCTGTGTCACAGTTTTCTGACATCTGTTTGCTCTTGTAAAATTGCAGTATTAATTTAATTCTGGGCAGATACTGTTCAGGGAAATATCATGATTATCTGAGAAATACATTTTTCTGTGAGACCCGTTACAGTGGAAATGAGTAGGTTTTGTGCCGTTTAAGAGACTGTAAATTAATAAATTTCCAATGTATTATATGTTTAACTAAGGACAATTCTAATGAATTGTAATACTTCCAAGACTAAAAGGAGTTTTGTGTCTGAATACCTCCTCTTTATTTTGGTAAGATAATTTGTAGAGGCTATCTGTAATTAGAGTGAGAGAATTTTTAACTTTGGATTTGAGAAGATAATGAGCTAAATTATTATAAGGCATCGCCACGTTCAACATAATTTGCTTTCTGTTTGTTCTTACAATCTTGTTCTCCTTTAGAATGGAACATTTCTACTACTTTTCATTTTTGCAAGTTGTAGTTACGTTATTTGTTGGAAACAAAGGACAGGAATATTAAAATGTTTCATGGAAAGCAAGTTTGTGTTCTAGTTTCTGAAGAACCTTTTGAATTAGAGCTCTTGTCATAATAGCTTACTCAATACTTTTTTAAGTCAGTGACATAGGAAACAAAAAAAATTAACAAACTGGATAACTCTGTTAAAAAAAAAGGTGTCTGCATTTGTCTGTTTTATTTTTGGGATAGAGTTTGAAGCCTTTTTGTGATCCCTGTGTTCAGGATTACAGAAGTATCCAGTGCGTACAAGCTGTGGTTGATAAAGGGTGGATGAGTTAAATGTGCAGAAACCTCTGGCCTCCTGTAGATTACTGATTATCTTTTGTAACTACTGGAGATTCCAGTTTGAGAATACTAGGTGAAGCATGTACCAGGCATTGTAATTCCTGGTGAAACATAAAATCTGTGTAAACAATGCAAAGAAGACGAGTCCCTAAATACTGGTTGCCTTTGTGTAGCTGCATCTGCTCTTTATTCCCTTCCTTTAGCCAATAACCTAACGGGAAGCTGGCTGCTTAGCATCCCTGTCACCTGTGATAGGTAATATATTTGTTCTTTGTTCCCTACAGACTTACTGACTAAGGTGGCATATGAAAAGCAATGTATCCAATAGCACTCCAGGCTGGAGGAGGAACTATTTGTGCATACAACTGCCTGAGTTAGAGAAACTATAAATTCTCTGTTTACAGACCCCAATGATAGTTTGAAGTCCTTTGCGCTGAATTTTTAAACACATTTTGATAAGTGGATGAATGTGAAACAAGAGACAAATCCACCATTTTTATAAACATGTAGGCAGAAACCTTATTTAAAAGGCCTATATATATATTTAAATATAGGTAAACAGATTAATTACCTTCAGTATGCAGAAAAATAATCCAGCAGAAGATGGTGTAGATTTTTCAGGTTCAATTTTCAGTATCTCTACAAAATATTTTCAATTCCAGTTGTTGGGTTAGATCATCCACAGTATAGGTCAGGCATTGGCATGGGCACACAAAACTTTGTATATAAGGACTGTGTTCGTTTTTTGTTTTTAAAGTCATAGCAAAGTAATTAGGATAAAATACATTTGCCAGAGATCAGAATACGGGCATGTCCTAAGGTTGTAGGTACATTAACAGTTTCAGAGGACTGTGTTCGTTTTTTGTTTTTAAAGTCATAGCAAAGTAATTAGGATAAAATACATTTGCCAGAGATCAGAATACGGGCATGTCCTAAGGTTGTAGGTACATTAACAGTTTCAGAAACAGTTGTGTTATGTTTTGAGTTTTTTTTTTCACTGGATTCAAATTGTTGAAAACTATTCTTATGCTAATAAAAATCAACAACTAACACTTTTTGGTGTTTAATAGGAGGTGCCCAAACATTCTAT